CCCACACTACCCTGTGGAACACTTGTTTTCACTGAAATAACTATGTCAAAGACAATATTAAATGCAGTTAAGTAGGCTTATTTACTACAGAATTTCCCTAAATATTACTTATGTAAATATGTGTTATGAATTTTCAGGAGGAAGCAACGTTTCCTGGCCCAGAATCCTTTTCCTAGGAGAATGCACGTTAAGATTTATTTCTTGGAACCCCTGAGAAAAGGGTTTAATATATGTCATACAATACCTGCTCTTCTAATAGGCATCAGTAAATGCTAATCCCTCTCTTTTGTGTCCAAATTATTCAAATAATCATACCTGTTCTTTCTAGATTTTGAGCTCCATAGAGGCAGGGGCTGGGTCCATCTTGTTCCTTTCTGTATTCCAATATCACACATAGCAAGACATTCCATAAAAATTTGATGAATAAGTAAACCAATGAATGATGTTTCATGTAGACCTAGCCTGCTCATCTTCACTGCTGGCTTTCTTTGCCATTTGTAGTTGGTGAGGCCAGTGGGAGCCCTCAGACACCTCTGAGAATTTTCATAATGGAAATAGTTCTGTTACCTTTTTTTTCTTTTCAGTTTTAGCCTCTGTGAGCACCGTATCTTCTGACAGAACCCGTGACTGTAGCCTCTAACCAAATAATTTTGCTGCTTCTCAGTGAAGTAGTCAAATGTATATATATTTTGCATACATATTTTGAACGAGACATTTCTAAGTGTTCCCAGTGGGTTTGCACCTGGATATGAAGAAGTCTGAAGCTCCTAAGAAACAGACTAAAAAGCACTTCATTGGAGCTTAAAACCAGCACCGAGGATTCCAGGTTTCCTGTGTGTGCCAGTTGTCAAGCTGTGATGGATGGCCCCCTGGTCAGTGGTGTGACTGCTGATTAATTTAGAACAAGATTTCCAACTCTTGTTCTCTGGGAATTATGCAGAAAAATAAAATTTTAAGTTAAATAGTAGTTGAAATGTTTCAAAATCTGACAGTTTTCCTTACTGAAGAACTCAGAAACTGTATTTCAACACAGCATTTTCCAGGCTTATCTAACATTCTTTTGGAGCCTTTCCAAGTCCTTTCTTCTGGAGTATCTAATAAGGTTGTTGTTCAGCAGAACACCCTTTGAGAAATGCTAACTATGTGGCCAAAAGTTATAATCCAGTCTTCATGATCTAGAAAATAGTTCTGTTCATCAAAACTCTGGAACAGCAAAATTGTGTAAAGCAATTATCCTTCAATGAAAAAAAAAAAAAACACCTGTGGAAGAGAGACAGTAAGGCAACTCCTTAATTGAATAGGGTGATAAAAAGACAGAGCATAAAGCCAGGTAGATTTTATGTTTTGTAAAACAAACCGAAGAAGGCTATTCATGGTACTTCCAAAAAAAAAAAAAAAGATTGTAAATTATCCAGTTTTCTTATTTACATCATAGTAGACATAACTTTTTTGTATAATGCTTCCATGTATTCTTGCCACCTCTTCTTAATATCTTCTGCTTCTGTTAAGTCCATACCATTTCTGTCCTTTATTGTGCCCGTCTTTGCATGAAATGTTCCCTTGGTATCTCTGATTTTCTTAAGAGATCTCTAGTCTTTCCCATTCTATTGTTTTCCTTTGTTTCTTTGCATTGTTCACTTAGGACGGCTTTCTTATCTCTTCTTGCTGTTCTTTGGAACTCTTCATTCAAATGGGTGTATCTTTCCTTTTCTCCTTTGCCTTTGGCTCCTTTTCTTTTCACAGCTGTTTGTAAGGCCTCCTCAGACAACCATTTTGCCTTTTTGCATTTCTTTTTCTTAGGGATGGTCATGATCCCTGCTTCCCGTACAGTGTCACAAACCTCCTTCCATAGTTCATCAGGCACTCTGTCTATCAGATCTAATCCCCTGACTCTATTTCTCACTTTCACTGTATAATTGCAAGGAGTTGATTAAAGTCATATCTGAATGGTCTAGTCATTTTCCCTACTTTCTTTAATTTAAGTCTGAATTTGGCAATAAGGAGTTCATGATCTGAGCCACAGTCAGCACCCAGTCTTGTTTTGCCTGACTGTGTAGAGCTTCTCCATCTTTGGCTGCAAAGAATATAATCGGTCTGATTTCAGTATTTACCATCTGGTGACACCCATGTGTAGAGCCTTCTCTTGTGTTGTTGGAAGAGGGTGTTTGCTATGACCAGTGCCTTCTCTTGGCAAAACTCTGTTAGCCTTTGCCCTGCTTTATTCTATACTCCAAGGCCAAATGTGCCTGTTACTCCAGGTGTTTCTTGACTTCCTACACTGGATCATCGAAAAACCAAGAAAGTTCCAGAAAAACATCTACTCCTGCTGTATTAACTACACCAAAGCCTTTGACTATGTGAATCACAACAAACTCTGGAAGATTCTTAAAGAGATGGAAATACCAGACCACCTGACCTGCCTCTTGAGAAATCTGTATGCAGGTCAGGAAGCAACAATTAAAACTGGACATGAAATATCAGGCTGGTTCCAGATAGGGAAAGGAGTACATCAAGGCTGTATATTGTCACCCTGCTTATTTAACTTACATGCAGAGTACATCATGCAAAATGCCAGGCTGGATGAGGCACGAGCTGAAACCAAGATTGCTGGGAGAAATATCAATAACCTCAGATATGCAGATGATATGACCCTTATGGCAGAAAGCAAAGAACTAAAGAGCCTCTTGATGAAAGTGAAAGAGGAGAGTGAAAAAGTTGGTTTAAAACTCAACATTCAGAAAACTAAGATCATGGCATCTGGTTCCATCACTTCATGGCAAATAGATGGGAAAACAGTGGAAACAATGAGACTTCATTTTTGGGGGCTCCATAATCACTGCAGATGGTCACTGCAGCCATGAAATTAAAAGACACTTGATCCTTGGAAGAAAAGTTATGCCCAACCTAGACAGCATATTAACAAGCAGAGACATTACTTTGTCAACAAAGGTCCATCTAGTCAAGGCTATGGTTTTTCCAGTAGTCATGTATGGATGTGAGAGTTGGACTGGAAAGCTGAACACTAAAGAACTGATGCTTTTGAACTGTAGTGTTGGAGAAGACACTTGAGAGTCCCTTGGACTGCAAGGAGATCCAACTGGTCCATCCTAAAGGAAATCAGTCCTGAATATTCATCGGAAGGACTGATGCTAAAGCTGAAACTCCAGTACTTTGGCCATCTGATGGAAAGAGCCGACTCATCTGAAAAGACCCTGATGCTGGGAAAGATGGAAGGCAGGAGGAGAAGGGGTCAACAGAGGATGAGATGGTTGGTTGGGATCACCAACTCAATGGACATGAGTTTGAGTAAAATCCAGGAGTTGGTGATGGACAGGGAATCCTGCTGCAGTCCACGGGGTCACAGAGTCGGACACAACTGAATGACTGAGTGACTGAACTTAACTGAGACATAACTTATTTTCTGTACCATTTCATAGCGTAGATGAGTTTCTTTTTTTTAAGTGTGGAGTTGGGTTTTCATCTTCAAATTTCTGAATAAAAATGGCTCTTGAAAGAAAAAGACTTAGAAAACTCACAAGCTCTTAATTGACTTTTTGTTGTGAGTTAATATGTCCTGAAACGAAGAATAGAGCACATCCCTTTTGAATGTCACTGTTCCGTACTTATTAAACTCTTCTGTGAATAAAATAATGTATCAATTACTGAACAAAGCAGTCTCATTACAGTTTGAAGGGTAGTGCTAAGCTTGCTTAGAAATGAAGAGAGAACTTTTAATTCCTAGAGCAGGGATCAATAACTATGGCCCATCACCTGTTGTTCATAAAATTTTATTAGAACATGGCACTGCTCATTTATTTAGATATTGTCTGTGTCTGTTTTCATGCTTCATTTGGAGGATTGAGTCACGGCAGCAGAGACCTTATGGGCCCTCAAAGCCTAGAGTATTCGTTATATGGCCCTTTGTAGAAATACCTGCCAATATCTTTCACAGATTTTTAGAAATATGGGAAAGGGATGCTGGAGATTACATAGCCAACACTTTTAGTCTATAGATGGTAAAACTGACACCAGAGAAGTTAGGGGATTGTTTCCCCATCAGAAAAGGCAAAGATTGATTTCTTTTCTTTTTTTTTTAACCACATGTAAATTTCATATAGATGTGGCAAAAGTCAGCTGAGTGAGTAATTAACTGCAAATTTCACAAACAGTTCATGGCTAACCTCCCTTTGAAGCACACTCAGTATAGTTTCTAAGGCATGCATTCAATTAGTTAGAAGGAGGCATGCACCTGCTTCTACCGTACTGTTTAATTTTTCATTACTTTTTATTGGAATATAGTTGTTGTACAGTGTGTGTCAGTCTCTGCTATATAACAGAGTGACTCAGCTCTACATATGCATGTATCCCCTCTGTTTTGGATTTCCTCACCGTGTAGGTCACCACGCAGCACTGAGTAGAGTTCCCTATGCTATACAGTCAGTTCTGTTAGTTATCTATCAATACTTTATACATAGTAGTGTATATAAGGTATCAACACCACCTGAGAGGCTGCCGCCATCAGGAGAACTGGTTGGGAAGGTCTCAGGGCTCAGAGAGAAAGGATGCAATAACTGACTAATCACCCATGGTCCAGGGGTGGGAGAGCAGCAGGATATATACCATGTAGGTGCTTTGGATGTTAACTGTCTGCTCCATATATCACTAGTGGTTATATTACCATCTCCTTCCCTGTATGTCTGCCCTATGAACACTTTCTTCGTTGGACCCCAAATGGAAGTGCTGCATCAGGCCCTCATTAAAACACTACTGCCTAGAAGTTCGTAAGTGATTCTATCCAAGTTCATTCAGATGCCTTTCTTAGCAACAGCCTGCCTACCCCATCACACTGTCTAAAAGGATTGGTCTGTCACACAATACTTAAGTTTTAGTGAAATAGGTCCATGAGGGCACAGAGTAAGAGTGTTAATTGTAAAGTCATGAGTTCGTGGGCTTTTGTCGTCACCCAAATTCAAAGTCTCCATGTTTGTGCTTTTGTGCAGCTGGACAATCCGGATGAGCAAGCAGCCCAGATCAGACGAGAGCTGGATGGCCGTCTCCAAATGGCAGACCAAATAGCCAGGGTAAGGAAACTCTGGGGACATTTGCTGGGGGACCAGGCCTAAGTCCCGCACAGGGTGCACACTGACTATTAAGGGCCGTGGAAAGACAAAACTGAGAATCAGAGAGAAAGAAAGATGAGGACAGTCATCCTGATGGAGTCCTCAGCCCTCCTCCTCGGGGCCGCTGTCCTTGAGACAATGCATGTATTTCCTGCACTCCACTCCATACTCAGACCCAGCCTTGCCTTCCTTCCGAGTGCCTGCCTTGTGTTTCCATCTGTCTGTTGAGCATTTCCACTTTGATAATCCCCTTCATTTTAAGTTGGATGTGTTCAAAATCTCACTCCTTACCTTCTCCCTCTGACTGAGAGCACATACCTACTTTTACTCCTCTCCATGTGTTCTCTGTCTAATTGCTGTGGATGAAACGTCCTGCTTATTGTCAATTTCTCCTTCTTCCCCACAACATTCCACACCCGGTCTGCCACCCAGCTCATTGATTCTGCCTCCCAAATGTGGGTCAGATCCAGCACCACTGCTAGTGCTTCAGTTCAGATCCTCATCTTCCAGGCCTAGATCTTACAGTAGCCTCCAAATGGGGATCTCTAGTTCTACTCTCTCGCCATCTTCTGTCCATCCTGCATGTAATTGTCATTCTAAACCTTGTATATGGACATCTCAAAACAGAGCCTCAGAATCCTTCGATAGAATAATACTCCATTGGCCCCAGAACAGAAGTTGCTCCTTTAGAATGACATTCAAGGCTGTTAATCCACAGACCGTGTCCTTCCTTACTGGCCTCACCCTCCCATTACTTTCCCACCAGGACTCCCCATTCCAGCTGCAGAGAATGTCTCCCTCTGACTAGTCCAGGCCCTTTCTGGCCCCAGTGCCTTTGTGCTCACTAGCGTTTCAACCTGGAATGACCTTTCTCCTCTCTTCTACTTATCATGCTGTCCTACTCAGCCTTCAGTCCTCAACTTAAGACCCTTTCTCTAAGAGCTTGTCCTCCCCACTTTTGTGCTTTCTTTTTTGCCATATGTAAACCCTTATAACGACAGTTCATTGAATGGTGATTCTTCACTGGCATGACTGAGTTTCCCAGTAGGTAGGATTGCTTTAGCGTTGGGATTATGTCTTCCTAATGATGACTGTCAGCCTGTGTTATCTGCTCTTCTTACTACACTGCCGTTTGTCTTGTTGTTCACAGTAGTCACACTAGTGGTATTTATTGAGTATTGCCTTTGTGTCAAGCATGTTAAATGCTTTACATGTACCATCTCATTCAGTCCTCCAAACAGTCCTTTAACGACATTTCAGTTATTCTTATTTTAGAGATGGGAAAAAGCTAAACAGTTCTGTAACAGTTAAGAGACTACACTAGACCTTTAACTCAAGTCTGACTAAGTATCAGGACTGACACAGGGCGAGGTACTCACCTCAGATACAGAATTTAAAACTTCTGGATGGAAAAAATTAAAAAAAAAAATTCTGGATGGGAGGATGTGGGCATCAAAATAATATTTGAATGCAATACTTTAAAAATAATAACCTATGCAAAAATATCCATGAAGAACAAAATATCAACATTTTAAATAACAGCATCCTACCGGTTCCTATGGGAGTCACAGGCCGTGTGTGCAGGTGAGGGTGGGGGCTGTGGGAATTGAGGATGGGGAAGGTGGATGCAGAGTAGAGCTTGGCGTTCAGCCTTCCTCTTTATGGGAAGAAGTGTATCAGGATTTGCACCCATGGAAAGGAATTCTACTGGAGGAAAAACCCAAGAGAGATTCCAAGAAGCAGGAAAATTCCCTTTCATGCTCAAGCAGTTTTGTTGAAATATTTTGCATCTTGTTTTTGGACACCTTCAAAGTTGATATTTGAGTCAGTCTGGTGGCTAAAAATAGTATCCAGTTGTTTGGCTAAAGGTAGTGTGAAAGGCTCTCAGTTTGAAAATCCTGCTTAATGTGGGAGTAAACATCCATAAGGCTTTAAAATGTACTTCTCTAAAGTCAGTGTCTCCTTGGCAGATAATCCAGAAAACAGAGGTCATTTCATCCATGCCCTGCTCTTAGGCAGCTATTATATCCACAGCTAGTAAGTATTCATGCCACTTAAAATTTTATACACACTTCTAAAATGAGCTCATGGCACATTTATTTGAGTTGTCTTGTTTACTTTGAGGCTTACCAAGATAATTTTACAAACTCATGTAGGCTAATTTTAATTTTTAAAATACCATGGATGAACAGCTGTTAACATAGTGAGCCAAGTTGCTCATTTCTGATCAATAGATGAAGAAACTCTCTCCCCTGGCCCACATAACTGGATACTCTGACACCAAATAGAGTATTACTGACAACTTTGAACTAGACTTTCTTGAACAGTGAAATATGCAACTGAAGTGAATCTGGGTCACAATTTACAGAGAATGGAGAATAATTTCAGAGTATATTGAGCATATATTTAAACATTCAGGAGGATTTCTGTGAGTCTGCCCACTACTATCTTCTGCTGTCCTGGACATTTACTGTTTTCTTGTGCAATATTCGTTCATGCCCTTGGCCTTCTTGCCATAGTTACCTGGTCCTGGAAGTGAGCTCCTCATGTGAGTGAAATCAGTCACAGCTTCCAGCCTATCCTGGCTACCAATGATTGGTCCAGAAATGGGTGCACCTAACCAATGAAACCCCTGAGATCTGTGGACCATGAACCAACAGAGCTGTGTTGTGTAGTGGTAAAAAGATGTTTGCAGTCATGTACAATTCTTCCATGTAGGGAAGAGAAGAGAAAAGAGTGAAGCCAATATACAGAAATAAACAGAGACAGCGTATACTGAGATCCTCAGGATGTTCAAACCCCCCGGATCTACTTCTTGACCTGCAGCTACAGAACTACTTTTTGTCTAGCTTAGTGGAATGCCAAGGAAAATAAATTCTCCTTCTGCTTAAACTAACCTGGCTAATACTAAGGAAGAATGAGAACTATCTTGTCTACTAGAAATTAAATAAAGTATCAAGTTCTTAGATAAAAGCTAGTTCATGAAGAGATAGTGAAACAAAGCACCCTTGCTTGTCTTATTTTAGCATGTCCTGTTTTTTCTATTTCTAGCATCACAGTGAATTTTATTGAGGGTGTGCAATTCAACCCATATGGCTGAACTTCAGCTCCTGTAAATATCATAACCAGAAATTCCTGGAGATAGATGTCATCTGTCATACATAATTCACTCTGTTCTCTGAATTATAAGATGAGTGGAGTGTCTTGATTGCAAATTAGAAGCTCCAACACAGGGAAGCTTTTTATAAGAGGGTATCAATTCTAAGAATTAGGTAATGTCTCACAGAGCCCATGGGCAAGTTACAGCCAAGATCTAGGAAGAATGTGGAACCAGGGGCCACCCAGGGGTCAGGGTTCCCCTCTTCTCTTGAGTCTGTGTGTCCCATTCATTATTCCTTCTTTCTCTGCAAACCATCTTTCTTTGCTGCTCAAATGAGAAACATGGCTGTTCCACAGGTTTTCAGCATGGCCAGATAGGAAATGATTCAGCCAATCAACCTGTCTCTCAGATCTCTCTCCCTCTCTCCTCTTTCCCCTTTATTCACTACCCCTTTCACATTCGCAATCTCAAGAGTCAGACCTCTGAATGACCCGGGTTAGTTCAAGGGCCAGCCCCTGGAACAATTGATTGATCCACCATGAAAGGGAGTAAGGGTCTTAATGAAACATGTGGATGCTGGTGATACATCACTGAGGATGAGGATGCTAACTTTAAAAGCGGGGCTGAGGGTAGAGTGGTCATAAATTGGGAACTGCTTGAAGACATACACAAAATAACTATTGCTTATGTGGTGTTTACTATGTGCCAGTCTCTCCTAATCATTTTACATCTGAAAACCTATCTAACCCTTCAACAACTTTATGAGAAAGGTGCTATCATTATCCCCTTTTGAGGATAATAGAGGAAGTTGAGGCATAGGTGTTAGAGGCCTTGCCCAAGGTCGTTCAGTGACCAGAACCATCTCTCTTAACCATCATGCACACTACCATCCCAAAATGCCATCCCAAACACACAGCCTCATTTCCCCATCATCCCAATCCAAGGGTTTGACATGCCTTTCACCCAGGCCTTCACTTTTCTGCATCCTGACCTCTCTCTGCTAATCAGTTATTTATTAAATCACACTGACTGTGTGATTTCACATAAAGTCTTATTCAGACCTGTGACAGACAATTCTGGGCGTTGCAATAATTCTCCCCAGTTCAGGCACATCAGAAAGTGTAAGTGGTGCACCAGAGCACACCTAGTTAGTAAGGAGGAAGCTGAGTGCTTTAATTCCAAGCTTCACGTTCTTTCTTTTTAGTAGTCAGATGGCAAGTGGGAGGTTCCACCAGGACAAGACTGTCCCAGCTCCTCCCTCCCTGACGGTTGGTTGCCTCTCTTGGAGCCTGCTTTCTCTCTTCCACAACCATTTACTGTGCATTCCCTTCAGGTCATCCAGCAGCTCAATGAAGCAGTAGTATAGAGCAAGCAGAATGGGCTCCTGGAATTCTGAATCCCTTCTACCTTGGTTATCTGGGAAAGAGGTGGTAGGGACCTTCGTGGTTCTGCCAGCAGCATTCTCATCCTCACGCACTTAAACGAAAAGGCAGGTGTTTGTCCTTTCTTCCTCGGAGAGAAGGGAGCCAAGTGTGATGTGGATTTCCTCCACCCGCAGCCCTACCGTGTAATCTGTCAATTCAGTCTCACCAACATCCAACAAATCATCAGACAGACGGCTGTGTGAGCCCTCATTGTGAACATCAGACATGCTGCCTTAAAAGTTCCATGACAGGACCTGAATGCATTTCTAAAAATCTGACAGGAAAGACTTCTTAATCCCTGCTCAAACATTTTCCCAAATCCTCTCATGTTGACATTAAAGTGTCCCCAGATTTCACCCAGGAATTAAGTCTAAGTTATTTAAATTATGTGATTAGAAGTTGACATTGGAGCTTAAACCAGCAGCTTGTGGCATTAGTGCTGCTGTGATATTTGCCAGTTCTTTTGGCCACATTTTGGGGTAAAATTCCAAAATTTTTGAGCTAATTATATAAGACAAATGCTACAGCTTCTGCAGTATTAGAGGCAGAGGGCTGGGAGTGAAATACCGTTGGTTTTTCAAACTATCATTTAAATGTTGAGTTGCCATTTAAACCCTATTCTCTGCAGAGCAAAATGACTATCTCATACCATGGTTCCATTGCAAACACGATGATGTGCCTACGTGAGAAATAGCATCCAAATATTTCCATGATGGAAGAGTTCTGCTCCATGCATTGCCAAAATCAGATCAGAGTGGATCCTCTCCTTCCAGAGAATGATACCACCTCCACCTTAGTGAATGTTCTTGGACCTGGCGTCTACCCTGGGTGATAAAGTAGCACAGTGTCTAAGCATATAGTAATTTAGTTCAATTTTTTTTCTGAAAAATATGTGTAGGGAGCATCTCTCTGACTCTGACCTTTGACAGGTAGCTAAGAACCCAGCGGAATCTGACTTCAAAGAAAAATCTAAATGCCAGGGAGGTTCATTCAAGGGAAAGTAAGTCTACATAATTCATAAAAGCCAGGAAGTGCAATGAAGCCACTTAAACACAGCTTTGAGTAAAAGAACCAACCCAGGAAGCTGTACTAGCTGTGCCCCAAGTGCTTTCTAGTATCTGGGATGCTGATTTTGACAGTTACTACCAAGACCTCCTTTCTCTCATTTAAGACACTCACCCTTCCCCCATCACTCCCTACACTTCACCCGTCACCCAGCATCTTACAGGCCACGTTGGCTGGTGATGGTGGGGTGGCCACTGCTGTGGAGGACTTGGCTCTGGCCCAAGCTCTGCTGAGCGCTGTGAGCTGTCCAATGAGGCGTGTGGAGGGTGCTCCCTGCTGAGAGGCCCCAAAGGATTCACCTCAGCCCTGATGCCACTTGGGGCCAGATAATCCAGCCCTGTTGTGTGGGCTCTGGGTTTCAAACTCAGTTCTGCTGATTATGGATGGAACTTCTGTATCTCATTTTTGTCCAGAAAATGGGAATAAATAGCAGCACCAGCCTCACTGGGTTGTGGAAAGATTAAAGGAGGTAGAACACATAAAGTGCTTAACTTAGTACCCAGGACCTGTAAATGCCACCTAGCAGCATGGTCTTCTCTGCGTCCACCGCTATTGCTATTGTTACTATTGCTGTTGTTGCTTTCGCTATTGCTATTGTTGTTATTAGAGTGCTAGTAGTAGCATGGTGCCTGATATAATTTGATATGTACATCTGTGTAGGATTATATGGTCAAAAAGTATTAATGTTATTATCTCTGACTCTTCACAATAACTTTTTAAGGTTTGTCATTCACATTTCAGATATAAACACTGTTATTCAGGCAGGGGAAGAAACCTGCTCAAAGTCACATAGCTAGTGCATGGCAGACCCAGGATTCAGGGCGAGCCCGTTGCACCAGTGTGGACTGGACAAGGCTCCTCGGTGCCCATTGGACCTGCGCGTGCCTCTCACACCACATGTGTCACGTGGCACCTGGTCGCTTTCTGGCGATCCCCCCAACCTTGGACACCTGCCTGTCAGCTGACTCTTTCATTCCTAGTGACAGCCATACTATCTAATGATCCCAGGACAGATCTGAGACATTGTACTGCCTTGGCATGTCTGTAGGCAAGCTCCACAGCTAGAGAGTATCCTTGTACCACAGCCTTCCTTCTGACCATCTGCAATGTTATTTGTGTTTGTGAGGTCTAAGGATTCTTTATCCAAGTACCCTTGCCAGCTTTTACATGTAGCTGCTTCATTCTGTATGAGTGAAAATGGAAGAGACATAAAAGCAAAGCAAATGACTGACAGAGCTGTTAGCACTTTCAAATGCTGTTTTTCAAGATGTTCCCCAAATCCCTCAGTGTGTCCGAGCATCAGTAACCCCGTAAGGAGTGGTCCTTGGGAGGCTGTCCCCACTGTGGAATGTTATTATCACAAAACCAAAATGAATGACTGGCAGAGAATGTCTATGGGAGACATTCTCCACCCGTGTGCCCGTGTGCTGTGTCTTTCATAAAGCAATATGAATAAGCAATCCTTTTGTCAAGGCTGATTTACTTTTATGCTTGGAAATGTAGCAATTGAGATGGACAACTACATTTTCCTTATTTTGGCACAACTTCAGCTTTGAAATGTGTTTATAATGGGTGTGCTGCTGAAGACACCACTTTAGAACCTCAGCCAAGATTGACAGAATACTATTGCGTCTCAAGGCTTAAGTACTCAGAGCAGAAAAATGGCCTTGTTTTCCCTTGCAGACTTCAGTTTTATGAGCCTGTTTTTATGCTGTCGTTAGGAACTGTCCAAGTTCTGGGAGGAGTGATCACTCTGGATTTTTCCAATATTCTGCTGTAGAAAGTTTGGTGGAAGCCACCTCTGGACCAAAGTTGTGGTGTCTGTAACCACTGAGTCTTCTTCCAGAGTTTCAAGACTGTGGCAGAGTTTCAAGGCCTTTCAAATTAAAAGGTCTTCAGTGAGTCCCAAAGATGTGTGTGATGAGGGATCACACTTGATAGTAAGGCTGATTGGCAGGAAAGAACCCAGTTCCTAGTCAGGATGGTTTTTCTCTCCATCTCCATGGCAACTGCAGGGCCAGCTGCTTCTAGTACAAATTAAAGATACCACTTACCCAGCTCCCCCAGTATCCCATACAGATATGAGGTTTGGGCCCACAAATAAGGAGGATGGAGATATATGAGTGTAACAGCCTTCAGGCTATTATTATGTATCCTTTGCTGCTTGGCAGCCTTAACATAAATTAACTTACCTCATCCTTCTCTTCACTTGTAAGAAGTGCCATGTTCAAAAAGAGATGGGGAAATATTTGCAACCATGTTCAGCTTATATAGACCTTCTTGGATTTATGGTTGCCTGTTATATTTTTCATGGAAAATCGGCAAATACAAGTGGCCCTGTCTCAGCCACGTCAACCCAGTGTCAGACTCATCCTCATCCGTCACACTTTCAGCCCAAGGGTCACCTTCTCTGGAAAGCCACCCATGAATCTTTCAGGAAGACTTCACTTCTCATCTACTTCCATCATAGCATCTACCTTGATGTTTCCAATCCGTGTCCCCTGTGATCCAGGTGGAGTTCTACCATGAGCCACAGAGACAGAAGACATAACTCAGGTCTAAGCAATTCAACATGACCCACCACTGGCCATGGAAACTGGTTCAGGGTATGCACATCAATCAGAGTTCTGAGAATTCTGAGATAAAGATGCTCCATCTTCTGTGAGCATCATGAGAGAAGATGTTCACTCTTTCTTTAGATAGGGTGCTGTGGTATTCTGAAGTACAGAACTTTAGCAACCTTTTTATGTCATAAAGAGGAGCCAGACTGAGCATGAAGCCAACTCAGAGAAACCCAAACCCAGTTTTGAAGGAAAAACTCAGCTATAATGATATTATCTGACTCCTCATTCCAGCCTTATCGGAAGCTGGTGCTACCCTAGGACATTTTCAAACTAATGCATTCCTTTTATTGTTTAAGTCAGTTCAAATTGGATTTTTCTGTCACTTGCAAAAAAAAAGACATCAAACTGATTTGACTTGCCCCTCACCTGCTCAGTTATAGAGCTGGAGTGCAGAGGACTGATTCTTTGAGAAAGTGATTGATCCAGAGTCTACTCATTCGAGACATCTAGACAACTTAGAGCTGTGAAGAAACACATAGCCTGGCTAAAGCAAGTTGCCATTACAACTGAACTCTTAAGAAAGGAAAAATAGGGGAATTTCCCAGTGGTCCAGTGGTTTAGAGTCCACACTTCTCCAGGTAGTGTGGGTTTGATGATCCCACATGCTGCATGGGGTGGTCAAAAAAAAAAGCAAAAAACAAGAACAGAGAGTTCAGTTCTGATATTGAGTTGTTTTATCTTCTTTTCTAAGGAATTTTAATCATATTTTTCATCACTTCATTAATTTTTCTTTCAATTTTTCTTGAAAACAGTTATCCTCTTAGAAATAGCCACAGGCTACATTTGAAACATCTCAAATGAGCTCGTTTTGAATTATTCATGTGAGAAAATCTCTATAGATATCCAGAAATAAGGTGTCTTTCTGTCTCCTCAACTTAAAAACAACTGACTGCATTTTCCTAAAAAAGAAAAACTGTTTGATTTGAAACCAGATTTGAAAAAACATTACCCCATTTTTCATTCCATAGATCAGATATTCTGGAGATAACTGGGTGAAAAAAGATAGAACTATAATAAAACATTTCTCTCTTTCTTACTGTATATTATGTGTTTCTTACCTGTTAGAGATGATAAATAACTAGAAGGCAGGCAGCTGTCTACTCAACTCGACTGAACATTTTTCTAGCATGTGCCACAGTATCTGGGAAAATTTCACTAGTGGTAGATGTCATCAGAACTCAGGGCTGAAAGATGAAAATCTTTTATGTAAATCAAGCCTTTATTTACTCCATGGCTCATTCCTTTCTTTTTCTTTACAAGGAGCGCAAATTTCCCAAGTTCGTATCCAAAGAAATGGAAAACATGTACATTGAGGAGCTGAAATCATCCGTCAACCTGCTCATGGCTAATTTGGAGAGCATGCCAGTGTCCAAAGGTGGTGAGTTCAAGCTTCAGAAGCTCAAACGCAGCCACAACGCTTCCATCATTGACATGGGTGAGGAGAGTGAGAACCAGCTATCCAAATCAGACGTCGTGCTGTCCTTCTCCTTGGAGGTAAAAAGCCCTAAATCCTTGAGAGTTTCCTGGCAGAACAGGCCAGACCAGGGTGATTAGATGCATCACAATCAGCTTGTTCTCCTTTTTGCTCCCCAGGAGCAGTTATTAAAATAACAGCTTGCTAGGTATGGGTCAGCTAATCAGCAAGTAATTTCCCATCTCCAGGAAACCATCCTTTTCCTTAGGAAATGCAATCTTAAGAACCACCTACTAAATTTAATGTTGAATTACTTTGTCCATCTTAAAGCAGTTCTGAAGGATTTTGTAAATATCTTGTACAATTTAGAAAGTTTAACATTTTGGTGACCCATGTTCAAAAAAATCAATCTAGCGTCATTTCATGGTAGGTTGACAGTTTTCTCTCTGATTCTCTCTCCCATTGGCTTCCCCATAGAAAGGCCCTTGTTGCAGTGGAGACTTGTTTAGTTTGTCTCATCACCCCAAGAAAGAATCCGTTTGGGCCAGAATTATGGCAGAAGTCTCAACATGTCAGTAGTTCTCTGACACTTTGACTCACATCTTTGTTTTATCATATGTGCAGTGTAAGGAGTGGATCTGATCTAACTGCATCAGAATTATTAAAAACTGGTTCAGTGTGCACATTCCAGCACCCCCAGAACTGTTGACCCAAATCTCTAGAGGAAGACAATATAAAATGGTGTGACCACTTTTGAAAGTAGCTTTGTGGTTTCTCAAAATGGTAAACATAAAATCACCAGGTGATCCAACAATTCCACTCTTAGATATCTGCCCTAGAGAGATGAAAATACATGTCTCCATGAAGACGTGCTCACAAATGTTTATAGCAGCATTATTCAGTATAGCAAAAAATGGAAACAATCTAAATGTCTATCAACAGGTGAATGAACAGACAAAAACGTGGTACATCCATAGAATGCTCTTCACCAATTAAAAAATAATAAATTACTGATACATTTTAAAAAATATAGATGAACGTCCAAAACATTATGCTTAGTGAAAGAAGCCAGATGCAGGAGGCCACATATTATTTGATGCCATCGATATGAAATGTCCAGAAAAGGCACATATCCAGAAACTGAAAGTAGGTTAGTATTGTCTAGGACAGGAGGTAGAAACGATCATAAGGAAACTTTTTTTTTTTCCATTTATTTTTATTAGTTGGAGGCTAATTACTTTACATCATTGCAGTGGGTTTTGTCATACATTGAAATGAATTAGCCATGGATTTACATGTATTCCCCATCCCGGTCCCCCCTCCCACCTCCCTCTCCACCCGATCCCTCTGGGTCTTCCCAGTGCACCAGGCCCGAGCACTTGTCTCATGCACCCAACCTGGACTGGTGATCTGTTTCACCCTAGATAATATACGTGTTTCGATGCTGTTCTCTTGAAACATCCCACCCTCGCCTTCTCCCACAGAGTCCACAAGTCTGTTCTATACATCGGAGTCTCTTTTTCTGTTTTGCAAATAGGGTTATCGTTACCATCTTTCTAAATTCCATATATATGTGTTAGTATACTGTAATGGTCTTTATCTTTCTGGCTTACTTCACTCTGTATAATGGGCTCCAGTTTCATCCATCTCATTAGAACTGATTCAAATGAATTCTGTTTAATGGCTGAGTAATATTCCATGGTAGACACGTGCACCCCAATGTTCATCGCAGCACTGTTTATAATAGCCAGGACATGGAAGCAACCTAGATGCCCATCAGCAGACGAATGGATGAGGAAGCTGTGGTACATATACACCATGGATCATAAGGAAACTTATTGGGAGAGAGAAAAATGTTCCAAGCAGTGATTTGTTACGATGGTTGTACAGCCTAATAAATTTATTGAAATTACCATATTGTGCACTTGAAATCGTGAATTATATGATATGTAAAACATGCCTCAATAAAATTGTCAGGAATAAAATCTCCACACTGAGCATAGCCCTGGAACGTGTATTTTAAGGAGCTATCCAGGTACTCCTTACATACTTCAGAGTTGGAGAGTCATTCATAAAGTATGAAAGCTCAAACTCTGTAAGGATTTTATGATAATCCAAGATAGGAAACTAAGAGAATAGATCAAATTTCTATAGATTTAATTAAAATTCGTAAAGATATAAATTAACATTCTAGAACGTCATTAAGGCTTGCTGTGAATGAACTGCTGGTAATTTGTTTTACTGTGCTCAGTTCAGATTGGAATAGTCACATGGCACTATTTTCAACATGTATTTTGCAAGTGGAAGAGGCGGTATTCAGTTAAATATAGAGCATTTGGTGCATGAAAAAATCACCAGTGTAATTTCACATAAACTTCCTTCCTTTTTTTAATACTGCCACCTGAGGTACTGAATGCTTTTTCTTAGGTGTCTTTGAATTTGATTATTGCCAATTAAAGGTGGCAATTTATTCCCTACTGCCTCTTATCTTCCTACTAAAAGGTGAGGGGAAAGTGGTTTATTGATTTTCATGAAGCTTTTAAATCTGTAATTTTCTAATTCTTTATCAATACTCAATATTAAACAGCTGATTGTCAAAAATACAGATGTGGATGAGGCCGTAGCCATACTCCCTGTGTACATGATTCAAACAGGCTGTAACTTTTAAGTGTAAGTACAAAATGAAATGCCCTAGGTTTCCCAAATACTTTGTAATTAGAACTCTAAATTGCTCATCCTTCTAAGTCAGCAACAGAAGGCCTTGTGTATCTGTTTGTGAATGTGTTTTGGTGGACACAGCGAGGGGGTCTAAAAAGAGGCAGAGAGAGAGAGGACTGTCATCTCATCAGGGCAGACTAGGTTTGAATCCGCAGGCTCGTACCAGATATATTTTATATAATTATAGAATTGCATGGCTGGAAGGGACAGTAGAGAACAGTTAACCTGAAGCAGGAGAACTGATGTCCAGGAATACAAGGGTAGTGTCCCTGGGCAGGTGGTGATTGGGGAGAAGGGTTCTGATGAAAAGCAGTAGGTGTCTGTAGAATCCTTCACCATCATTCACTCAGTGAATCCTCACAACAACCATTCAAGGCATTTGCAGATATGGAAACAAAGCCTTGGAGTAGTTAAGAACCTTGTAAATCATTATACAGCTAGTGAAGATGCAGCTTCAGGATTTGAACTCAGATCTTTAAAACTCCAAAAATTGTGTTCTTTTCCTAGTGCATCTCATTTTTTTCCTTTGATGGTTCTTTCTACCTAGTGAAAGGATGTTTGGCATCATATCTCTTTAGATCCTCACACAGTAGCCACAGAGAGAGAGAGAACCTGTACCATTATCCCCACTCTACAGATGAGGAAACTGAGGCTCAGAAGATTTAAAAGTAAAGTGACTTGATAGTCAAAATTTGCCAAGTATCTGATGAGTGGTATACTGGCTTCTGGATCTGCAGTATCAGTATCTGCATCACCAGGGAACTAGTTACAAATGAGAAGTCTTGGGCTCTACCCAAGACCTGCTTGTAGGCAGCTAAGGGGGTGAAGCCCAGCAGTGTCTGGCTTATCCTTCCAGGCCATTCTAATTCACACAGAATTTGAGAATCCCGGGGCTATTATGCAGAGAATTGACTTGTGAATCCCGAGGCAATGCAGGCCCTGTTGTGTTAAGATTTCTTTGAATCGATCCCATTAAAGAAGTGTACACTGTTTGCACATCCGTATCCTTCTCCTTGTATAATGCCATTAGCTCTTCTGGAGTAAAAGTCAGTGATTTGTTAATATCCCTTGGTCTGTATCAATCTCTGATGCAAGTCATTTGTTCCTGATTTTTAAATCAGTGTCTCCTCTTCTCTCTTCTCTGCTACCTCCCCTCTGATGAGTGGCAGTGTGTACCACTAAATATGAAAATATCAAGTGGTTGAATAGAGTTGGAAGGTAGTGGTGGGAAATTCTAGGAGTTGTAAATAATACAACTTGGTCAATCCAAACCCAGCCTTTTCCTCAATCTAAACAGAGAGTATACAACTGTAGGCTTTTTTTTGTTTCACTCTACAGTGTTAGCCTGCACAAAATTTGTTAATTTTATTTCTCTCTCTTAAAATTATTGTCACAATTTCAAGTTCAGATTTCTAACTTTGACTGTGATTCAGGTTTCCATTTGCTGGTAGCAGAAGGTGGAGTATTTGGCAATCCATTTACCTCTAGACTGAAATAAAGCAAGGCAACATGGGCTGTGGCAAAGTAGCAGTTGCCCCCTTTAAATGGAGCTCTCCAGTTTGCCACAGTCCCTATCACTCCCTTTTGCATATCTAACTCTCATGCCAAATGGTGCTTGCCCTTTATCTTAACACTTGTGTTATCACTTACTTTTTTGTAAAGAGGAAAGTGAATTTCTTGGCCTATGTCTCCATCAGGTTCTGAGTTAAAAGCTAGACTCTGTATTTTTTTTTAAATAGGAGAGTCTATTTCTTGTGGAAATGAAAAATCAAGATCTTATGTGTTTTTAACACAGAAAAGAGTAGCCCGTTCCACTTAATCTGGCTCCTGTGTGCATCTGAGTTAGTGAACCTTGCCTTTCCATCTGGGAGGCTTGTACTGGTTATACTATGAAGAATTGCAGCTTTGTACTGGACGTGTCCCAACATGGCTGGTAGAAGCCTGATTGAAGTTCTCAAATCCCTATTGGGGTTTTGTGTATACGCATGAGACAGGTCTTAATGTGTCTGTTTTCCTCTGGCTGATGCTGTCCACAGACTTTGACAGTAACCTCGGCTGTGTGCAATTCTGTTTCCAGGTGGTGATCATGGAAGTCCAAGGCCTCAAATCCTTAGCTCCAAATCGCATTGTATATTGCACGATGGAGGTGGAAGGAGGAGAGAAACTACAGACTGACCAGGCTGAGGCTTCAAAACCAACGTAAGTTATGTTTCTCCATGGTTCACCTTCCAGGTGGTTCTTCTCAATGGCATCATTCTGGCCAACTCCCAAGTTGAAGATTGGTTCCCCCAGAAGGTTATAGTGATATCCACTTTGTTTATTCTCCAAACAGAATGACTTGACTACATTTTCACTTAGCAGCCTTAATAAGGATTCCATTCCTTCAGAGCAGAGAACAGAAGGAAATGTGAGATACAATCTCCTTTCTGGAGATTTTATGTATTTACCTGACAGAGTTTAGTCACCACCTGCTGGTTTCAATAGGATATGCAGGGGAGCTTGATAGAATTTTTTTTATTATATTTACTAAATAATATTTGGTTTACAGTATAAGCATTTTTTCAAAATTTTTCTCTGCCACAGTTATGAATATATCAGCTAAGCAGTACATTACATGAGGCACAATCCATTAATTTGTTAGGTAAGCACATACTTATTAAGGACTCACTGTGTGTGTGTATAGTGCATGATTGAACAGTGGAGAGGAAAGTAGTCTCTGTTATAGTCCAACAGAGCTTACAGTTGAGTGGGGGAGCAGAAAAATTTATAGCTACAAATAGATACAAATGCTGAGGAAGAAGGAGTGCTTTGTGAGGAGACATCAGGGGAACCTGAACCAGTGTGTAGAGACAGATTCAGAGCAGGCCTTCTTGAGAAGTTATAAGACATTTAGGCTAGTATTATAAAAGCTGAGCAAAGGAGTTGGGAGTAGAAAGAGCATTCCGTGCAGAGTCAGCTTGTGCAGAGGCCCTGTGGCCAGCAGGGCCCTGTGGCATGGCAGCATTGAAAGGCCAGTGGGGCTGGAGTCCAGGGAACAAGGTATGCCATAATCTGCCACAAGGCAGAAGGGGCCACACCACGAAGAACCTTGCTAGACCACAGAGAGGAAGGATAGGCATGTATGATTAGACATGTGTTTTGAGAGGATTACCCTGGCTGAAGTAAAAAGGGCTGGGGTCAAGGTAGGAGGCCACTTAGGATTCTGTTGCATTGGTTCCCAGGAGCTATGATGATGAATGTATTTGGGTCAATAGACGCTCAGGCTGCAAAAAATTCTTGAGAGATCACTGTTCTCTTCCCTCCCTCCCCACTGCCTCTCTCCTTTTCTATCTCAATTAAACTAACCTAGCATAATGAACATCTTTTTTATTGTTGTTAATGCAGAATAAAGTCATAAAAAGGATAACCCCTAATAGCAGCTCTCCTCCCTCAAAGCATTATGAGCTGTTTGGCAGAACATGAATAACGTACTGAGATAGTCAAAATAGTTCAAAGAAAGCACTGAATGTTTCCCTGACTAGGGAAAATCTGAGGGCATTGTGTGCCTTCAAGTGGTTCTTTGTATGAATACGCAAAGGCCTCAGATGCTCAGATCTGGGTGAAATTAACGAACATGTGAAGCAGGAAATTGGAACCAAAGCAACCTGTCACACTCCATCCTTCCTCCCTTTTTAAAAATTTAGTTTCAGACTGAAAATGAATGTGGTTTCTTTTTTATCACCATTGATAAAAATCCCAATATTTCCCCCAGCTGTCACCATTGCCTGATCATAATCAGTGCTATTAGCTTGTTGCTTTATTTATATGTTCTTTTGAAAAACATGTCATGTGGTGGGAAGAAGAACTTCTTTGGTGTTCATGCTAACCTTTTAAGAAGTTGAGCCCAATATAGTGTCATATGTAGAGAAGGAAGGAGAAAACTCTGATTATTTGAACATGTTGTTGTTTGATATCAGCTACTTAACTCAAAATGTAATTCATACCAGTTTATGGGGTTTAAAGGTTTCAGTTGCCAAGGTGAAGGATGAGCTGATTTTCATGTGCATATGAATGCTTAAAGCAGAGTTTCAGATTACAGATATTGAATGCTTTGGTCTACCTGTTTGAAATGCTGATGTCTCATATATACATTTACTCACTTCCATACGTGTACATTATTATGTCCATATTAATAAACATCTCACATTGAAGCATTTTGCTTTTCTAGCTAGAAGTTGTTTTTTCTTTATTACTCTTCAGTCACCCCATAGAGGGCTTGTTTGTATTTTTTGTTTTTTAATACCATAGAACGCAGCTTTCAAAACTAGCATCAGGTCAAATCAGTCAGGAGTGGCTAACTAGAGTGCTGTTTTGAGAAGGATTCTGAAGCCAGATCTATATTCAGAGGAAAATAAAGCATGATCAGTATGATAAAAGAGGTACAAGTGCTTTGTGTTTGCCATTTCTAGAGATCTCAAAGAGGTCTACCAAAGTTCATGTTTCTTCCTGTCACTTCCTTTCTCCTTCCTATATAAATTCTCCTTATAACCTCTGCTCATCTGCCTTCTAAAGCCACAGTTGTTTTTCTGCTTCTCTCTTTGCCTTTTTCTTCATGATAGTTCACTGCTAATACTGCTCCTCTGTCTCCAGTTTCATCTGACAGGATGAAGGAGCCTGTGAGTGTTCATGCAGGTGCATTTTCTTCTTCCCTCTGGTTTGGACTTACTCAGAATCCTCTTCATCATTTCTTTTCTCTGAAGCTTGTGATTTCTTCTCCTTTCCTCCTTGCTTCTGCTCACAGCTTTTCCCATTACTAATCTCTAACTGTCATCTCTGCTACTTGATTTCGATTACCCCAAAAAGTACCCTTTGGAGGGTCATCCTTCATCTGCTCTCATAACTCCATTTCATCTGACGAATTTAGCCCTTTTCCTGCCCTATTCATCTTCTGATTCTTGTCTCTGACTATTCCTGCAAGCAACTGATGCCCATACTTTATTGACACATTCTAAAACCAGGATTCCGTTGAAGCCTGTTTTATGTAGTACTTATAAATTCTATTGTTGCTGCTACCAAGTATTTTACCCATTTGCTGGAACTCTAATATCTTATCCTATCATGTCCTAGTCTATAAGGAAGTTGGCTTTTTCTTTTTTCCTAAGTACAGTCAGAAATTCAGGAATATAGTGCATAACCCAGTTTGTCCAAGAGTATTTTTTTTGAGACTCTAATGTATAGAATAATCCAAAAAAAAAAAAGATGGGAGAGTGGTATCATGGTCAAGTAACTTTGGGAAATGCGAGGCATTACATTTCTTTCTGAATTATTCACAGTGCATATTGGCATTTTAAAGGCTTTGAAGATTTACCAAAGAAAAATAAATCTTGTTGTTTGTTTATCCATGAGTTTCCCAAATGTTATTCAACTAACCGCTATTAGCATCCATTGAAAATGCCGCTCTGTATTGTTCAAACCTAGCAGTGGAAGGTTCAAGCTCTCTCACTTCCTTTATCAAGGTTGCATCTTCTGTTTCAACCAGAGTCCTGCCCCCAGGTGGTCATTTTGAGTTAGGTGCATATTATAAGAATGCTGTATTCATGCGTGAAATATGTTGTGTGGCTGAAAAAAATGTGTGTGAGTGTGTATGTGTAGCCCCTTCTCACCTTTCACTGTATCCGTCTCTTGGCTACAGGTGGATTATTCTGAAGCAGACCATGTATCCTCTCAATTCTTTTGTCCTCCTCTCCTGGGTTTTTGAAGTGGGAAGCCAAAATATATGATCAGATTTTTTCAAGAGATGCACTTACTTTAAAAATTATTGCCCTCATTTTCAACATACCATTTCTGCTTCTGGTAGGAAACTGATGAGGGTGCTGAGGCAGGGCAGGAGTCATTGAAATCCCATTTTTCAATGAGCAGTCTCAGGAGGGTATGGAAATGGAGAAGGGAAAGACTTTGTGGTTTCAAGAACTCGGGATATATTTGCCCACCTCCTGTGAAATAGAGCAAAGGAATTTTCTTACCATAAGGCAGTGTTTTTCTTCCTTTTTACTTTTTATTGAAATATCATAGATTTACAATGTTGTGTTAGTTTCTGGTGTACAGCGAGGTAACTCAGTTATAGATCCTTTTTATTATCCTCTTCAATTCTAGCTCATTTCAAGGTACGGAGTATAGCTTCCTGTGCTATACAGTAGGTCCTTGTTGGTCATCTGTTTTACATATGATAATTTGTCTCTACTAAAACAAAACTCCTGATTTTCCCCTCCCCAGCCTTCCCCTTTGGTAATTGAAAGCTTGTTTTCTCAATCTGTCAGTCTGTTTCTGTTTTGTGGATAAGTTCATCTATGTCATATTTTAGATTCCACATATAAGTGATCACATGCCATCTGTTTTTCTGTTTCTGATTTTACTTCACCTAGTATGAACATCTCTAGGTCCATTCATGTTGCTGCAAATAGCATTATTTCGTTCTTTTTTATGGCTGAGTTTTATTCCGTTGTGTGTATATACCACTTCTTTATCCATTCAGTTGTTAACGGACAGGTTGCTTTCATGTCTTGGCTATTGTAAATAGTGCTGTTGTGAACGTTGGGGTCCATATATCCTTTCAAATAGTGTTTTCTCCAGCTATATCCCCCAGAGCAGGATTGCTGAATTATATGATACTTCTGTTTTTAGTTTTTTAAGGAACCTCTCTACTGCTCTCTATAGTGGCTCTTACCAATTTACATTCCCACCAATAGTGAAGGAGGGTTCCCTTTTCTCCACACCCTCTCTAGCATTTGTTATTTGTAGATTTTTTTATGATGGCCATTCTGACCGGTATGAGGTGATACTATAGTTTTGATTTTTTGTTCTCTATTAACTAGTGGTGTTAAGCATATGTTCATGTGCTTTTTAGCCATCAGTATGTTTTACAGAAATGTCTATTTAGACATAGAAATGTCTACTTAGATCTTCAAAGGCAGTGTTTTCTGAAGGGTGGCACTCTTACTCTGCTGATAACAGAGATCATGTTAGGTGTTAGGAAGACCTAGAATTGAGTAACATCAAGTCATATGAGAAGGAAGTTACCCCTCCATGTATTTTTCAGTTTTTCTGATCAAGTCAAGGAGAATGCTTATGCTGGTTCTGGTAAATCTTTAATCTGAGGAGGTCTTACAAATAGCTGTGAAAAGAAGAGAAGCTGACAGCAAAAGAGAAAAGGAAAGATATAC